ATAAGGGAACAAAATTTAGTGTACAACACAACCAAAAAAATAAAAATACTAACTCCTAAATCCTACAAAAGTCCATTCCTAAGAAACTGCAATTGGCTGTTGCAAATTCGTCTTCTTGGTATTTGAGTTTGGGTTTCCTATAAAGTCTTCCATATTATAGATGACAGTAATATATAGAGAACAGCTAGGGCATCGAGCAATTTCTTCTCCTGTTTTCAGCTCTTCTTTGGTTATCTGGAAGAGATCTCCACAGGGACAGGGATAAGTGAAGGCCTGGAGCTCCTCGTTCCATTCCATGTCTTCAATCTCCACATCATCATATGACATCCTTAACTCGAATTCAGCTCAGAGAACTTTTGAGGATGTGTACTGAAATCACAAATCAAATTAAAACAATTACTTGTTAAAATTAACCTCATCCCTTTGTCTTCAGATTCAGAAAGCACGTCATACAAAGCACAGCAGCTATTCATACACTACACAATATATACATCCAAAAACCAACATAATGACGAATTCATTACATCAAAACAAGAAGAAATATCAAGTATGTATGTGAGAGATGCACTAGTTCCTAGACTCGTTGTATTGATGCTTGTGTTTTCTCTAGTAACACAATTTCATAAAACGAAAGGGTCAGAAATAGCTTTCTAGGCTGCATTTCATCAATAAAGGCAGCTTAACTGCTCAGAGCCCAGTGCAAACTTCATCACACCCACAACTGAATAAAACCAAGAAGATAATAAACACAAGAAAATACTGATAACGTCTCAAAAGAACCATAATTATTGATTATCATACAAAATTTATTTCCAAAGTGCATTGTACCAGGGGATCCTCAGAAACAAAAAAGCTTGTATGTTTCATCAAATTTAAAAGAAACTCAGGTCTCAAAGATTTCATACCATCATAGGATCCCTTTCACAATAACAAAGTTATAATTCTGCAACAAGTCAACAAGTAATGCATCTTCAACAACAACAAAATTCAGTTTAGTAATTCTTTAATCCACTAATTGAATTAAAAAAAAAAACCTTTTATTTGGTGGGAAAACTGAAAATTTTGTGCCAAGAGATAGAATTTTCTTTTTTTTTTTTGGTTAATGGTAATTTAGCAGGAGCCAATCGAAAGCGAAAAGACTTAAGACCTGCTTCAAAATGAAATCCTTTTTACAACTATTGTTGAGGTTGATAAAACATATTTTTAACTCATAGAATTAAGAAATGAAAAGATTCTATCAAAAGGCTATGAACCAATACTTAGAACAAACTACAAAAACAAAACAAGATAGAAATTGAATTGAATAACGAAGAATCCATTACATCAAGTATGTATGTGTGAGAGCCGAGATGCACTAGATCCTTGACTTGTTGATGCTTGTGTAGTATATCTCAAGCTATGTTTTTCTAGTTACACAATTTCATAAAGAGTCAGAAATAGCTTTCTAGGCTGCATTTCATCAATAGAGGCAGTTTAACTGCTCAGAGCCCAGTGCAAACTTCATCATACCCACAGGCCACAAATAAATAAAGCATAGCACTTATTTCAGAATTAGCCTTTCTAATGGCGAGATAAAAAAATGTTTCAGCCCAAAAAATTTATATTACCAAAATCCACACCCCATCCAGCGTATTGTGTACGCAGTGACCTCAAGAAGGCTCCATGATTCGGTGAACAATAAGTCCTAGACAGATATCAGACCAACACCAAAAATATTATAATGGGGACTACACCCATTATCATTAAAAAATGATTCAAAAATATTATAATCTATTAAGCTTCATCCACTATCATTCAAATGGTGTTTAATAGGATCAGTAGGTTTTAAACTTGGATTACATGATAATTTTAATGGGATTGCAAACATTAGATCACCCAAATAATTGAAATTGTTGAAATTAAGCATCTATATA